TATGCTCATCTCCCCGGAGGGGTTCCGACTATACTACGCCTTAAGCTACCTGTTTCCGACATCCAACAACGAAGCCGAATATGAAGCTGTGCTAAATGGTCTCCGGCTCGCCAAGGCCTTAGGAGTTGAGCGATTGAGAATCAAGACTGACTCCAGGCTGGTAGTCGGGTAGATCTCCGGCACGTGTGAGGCTAAGAATACACAGATGACTTTATATAAAGAGCGGGCGGTCGAAATGTTAAAGGAATTCGGAGCCTACGAAATAGAATATATCTCCCGGGCGGACAACGTGGAAGCCGACATATTATCCAAAATCGCATTGGAAGGAGTACCGGATCACCTCGTGAAGATCTGCCAAAAGGAGGAATTGGGCCGACCGAGTATCGAGGAGACGCCACTAGAGGTTCAGCAGGTGACGGGCAAGGAATGGGATCGAGAGGAAAACCCTGAGATGTTTTGGATAGAGGACATCCGGCGGTTCAAGGAAACAGGCGAATTACCGGAAGACCCGGGAGTCGCCGTTAGGGTCCGACGAAAAGCCCCCTCTTTCCAAATTATTGATGGGCAGTTATACAAACGGTCGTTCGGAGGTCCTTTGTTGAGATGCTTGCTCAGGCCCGAGGCCGAAAAAATAATGGACGAGGCCCATAGAGGCATCTGCGCCGCGCACCAAGGTGCCCACACGCTCGCCCGGAAGTTAGTCGTCCAAGGGTATTATTGGACGACTATGATGCGAGATTGCATCGAGTGGATATCCAAGTGTGGCGTTTGCCAAGCATTCGCCATGAAAGACACTCGGTCGGCTACCTTCTACACGCCGGTCGCCACAGCCATCCCAGTTGCTAAGTGGGGAATCGACTTGTTGGGGCCGTTACCAGCAACCCCCGGAGGCTTGAAATTCTGTGTCGTAGCCATCGATTACTTCACCAAGTGGGTTGAGGCTGAACCGTTGGCCACTATCACCGAGTACCAATGCCGACGCTTCCTATGGAAGAGGGTGATTTGCCGCTTCGGCTTGCCCGAGCATATTGTCAGCGATAATGGATGACAATTCGACTGTCAGGCGTTTGCTGACTTCTGCCATCGACACGATATTCGCCATACCAAAGTATCCGTGGCGTATCCGCAGGCCAACGGGAAAGTCGAGAATGTGAATCGGATCATAGTGGATGGAATCCGAAAGAAATTGGAAGATATCAGAGGAAATTGGGCGGATGAGCTTGATCGAGTCCTATGGGCTTATCGCACTACGCATCGGCGAGCAACCAGAGAAAGTCCATTCTCCCTCGCGTACGGCTTTGAAGCTAAGGTCCCAATTGAAGTGGTCGAGCCCACTCACCGGGCCCGCACTAATTCCGACACGGAGAACGAAGAAAGTCTTCGAATTGAGAAAAATTTCCTAGAGGAAAGAAGGGAAGCCGCGAGTGCTCGGATGGTCGAGTATCAACAAGCAGTAAAAAGATATCGCGATCGAAGGATTCGCCCATGGACCTTCCAGGTCGGTGATCTCGTATTACGAGATCGGCGAGCGAGTCAGCCCACGGAAGGAGGCAAGTTCGCGGTAAAATGGGAAGGACCCTATCGCATTGCCGCGGTGGTCCAGGCCGGCACCTACAAGCTTGAAATTCTGGAAGGCAAGCCTGTAGACCGAATCTGGAATGTCATCCACTTGAAGAAGTTCTATCAGTAGAAAAGGTTAGGCCATGTATAAGCCCAGGAGTCCTGAAAGACCTGAATAAAAGAGTATGAATTGCTGATAACTATCGCCCGGACTCTGCGAGAAAAGTTAGGAAACAAGGGCCCAGACCCTTAGTCGTTTCCGTGAAAAAGCCAAGAGGAGTCGCCTCGACTGAGGGACTCGGCGAATATATAAAGAAACAATGGGGCACTGACCCTAAAACGTTTCTGAGAAAGGAAAAGCCTAAGGGGTCTCCTCAACTGAGGGACTCAGCGAGAAAAGTTAGGAAACAAGGGCGCAGACCCTTAGTCGTTTCCGTGAAAAAGCCTACAGGGGTCGCCCCAACTGCGGGACTCGGCGAGTATAAAGAGAAACGACGGGGCACTGACCCTAAACTGTTTCTGAGATAGAAAAAGCCTAATGGGTCGCCTCGACCGAGGGACTCGTCAAGAAAAGATAGGAAATAAGGGCACTGACCCTTAGACGTTTCCGAGAAAAAGCCTACAGGGGTCGCCTCGACTGAGGGACTCGGCGAGTACAAAGAGAAACGACGGGGCACTGACCCTAAACTGTTTCTGAGATAGAAAAAGCCTAAGGGGTCGCCTCGACTGAGGGACTCGGCGAGAAAAGATAGGAAACAAGGGCACCGACCCTTAGTCGTTTCCGCGAAAAAGCCAAGAGGAGTCACCTCGACAGAGGGACTCGGCGAGTATATAAAGAAACAATGGGGCACTGGCCCTAAAACGTTTCTGAGAAAGAAAAAGCCTAAGGGGTCGCCTCGACTGAGGGACTCGGCAAGAAAGTTTAGGAAACAAGGGCCAAGACCCTTAGTCGTTTCCGTGAAAAAGCCAAGAGGAGTCGCCTCGACTGAGGGACTCGGCGAGTATATAAAGAAACAATGGGACACTGACCCTAAAACATTTCTGAGAAAGGAAAAGTCTAAGGGGTCGCCTCGACTAAGGGACTCGGCAAGAAGAGTTAGGAAACAAGGGCCCAGACCCTTAGTCGTTTCCGTGAAAAAGCCAAGAGGAGTCGCCTCGACTGAGGGACTCGGCAAGTATATAAAGAAACAATGGGGCACTGACCCTAAAACGTTTCTGAGAAAGAAAAAACCTAAGGGGTCGCCTCGACTAAGGGACTCGGCGAGTATATAAAGAAACAATGGGGCACTGACCCTAAAACGTTTCTGAGAAAGAAATAGCCTAAGGGGTCGCCTCGACTGAGGGACTCGGCGAGTGTATAAAGAAACAATGGGGCGCTAACACTAAAACGTTTCTGAGAAAGAAAAAGCCTAAGGGGTCGCCTCGACTGAGGGACTCGGCGAGTGTATAAAGAAACAATGGGGCACTGACCCTAAAACGTTTATGAGAAAGAAAAAGCCTAAGGGGTCGCCTCGATTGAGGGACTCGGCGAGTATATAATGAAACAATGGGGCACTGACCCTAAAACGTTTCTGAGAAAGAAAAAGCCTAAGGGGTCGCCTCGACTGAGGGACTCGGCGAGAAAAGTTAGGCCACAAGGGCCCAAAACCTTAGTCCTTTCCGTGAAAAAGCCAAGAGGAGTCACCTCGATTGAGGGACTCGGCGAGTATATAAAGAAACAATGGGGCATTGACCCTAAAACATTTCTGAGAAAGAAAAATCCTAAGGGGTCGCCTCGACTAAGGGACTCGGCGAGTATATAAAGAAACAATGGGGCACTGACTCTAAAACGTTTCTGAGAAAGAAAAAGCCTAAGGGGTCGCCTCGACTGAGGGACTCGGCGAGTATATAAATAAACAATGGGGTACTGACCCTAAAATGTTTCTGAGAAATGAAAAGCCTAAGGGGTCGCCTCGACTGAGGGACTTGGCAAGAAAAGTTAGGAAACAAGGGCCCAGACCCTTAGTCGTTTCCGTGAAAAATCCAAGAGGAGTCGCCTCGACTGAGGGACTCGGCGAGTATATAAAGAAACAATGGGGCACTGACCCTAAAACGTTTCTGAGAAAGAAAAGGCCTAAGGGGTCGCCTCGACTAAGGGACTCGGCGAGTATATAAAGAAACAATGGGGCACTGACCCTAAAACGTTTCTGAGAAAGAAAAAGCCTAAGGGGTCGCCTCGACTGAGGGACTCGGCGAGTGTATAAAGAAACAATGGGGCATTGACCCTAAAACGTTTCTGAGAAAGAAAAAGCCTAAGGGGTCGCCTCGACTGAGGGACTCGGCGAGTATATAAAGAAACAATGGGGCACTGACCCTAAAACGTTTCTGAGAAAGAAAAAGCCTAAGGGGTCGCCTCGACTGAGGGACTTGGCGAGAAAAGTTAGGCCACAAGGGCCCAGACCCTTTGTCGTTTCCATGAAAAAGCCAAGAGGAGTCGCCTCGATTGAGGGACTCGGCGAATATGTGAAGAGTCAACAGGGCGTTGAGCCTAAGTCGTCTCTCAGAGTTAGAAGGGCCCGATGCCTTAGAAATATTTCTTCAATTCCCAGAACCCTAAAGAAGTTAATCGAGTTCAAGATAACGCAGAAGGAAAGAGAAAAAGGAAATTGTATTAGAATTAAAAAAGGCCCGAGAAGGAGGCCAGCCTTTAGAAAAAGGGGCTATCCTAAAAGTATAGCCCTAAGCTACTGTGGAGGGGGTGTCGACATCGACCCCTTCAACTTGCCCCTGCCGTTGGTCCAGCTGGGTGAACTGAAGAAGGGTCCTCTGCCTGAGGGGAGGACTCAGTGAGATTGGGAGGAGACGCCGCAGGGAGAGCCTCCGGATTAGCAGCCGCCGCCGGTCCTTCAGCTACCGGAAGAGCGTCTATCACCGGCTTGAGGCCCCATCTCTCGGGGGTAAAAGAGGAGTCGCGGACCAGCAAGGCGGAGTGGATTTCTGTCTGCGCCTCGCGGAAGCCAAGGCGATAGTGGCGCTCGCCCAAATCCAGAAGGAAGTCGTCACCTTCCGGCGTCGCCAACCACTCTTTGGCAATCTCCTTCTGATGGGCCTCTATCGCCGCCTTCACGTCTGCCTCGAAGGCCGCCGACTTCTTGTAGTTCTCCACCGAGGTCGCGGCGATGGTCGCCACTTTGTCTCGCTCCTCCTCCCACTGACGGGTGACCCTTAGCATCTCGGAGTTATGCACTTCCACCGCCTTGGCGTGCTTAGCTTGCTCCTCCAAGAAGGCCTCCTCCGTTTGGTGCACCCGAACGGCCATAGACTTCAGCCCGGTCTTATACTCCCTCAGTCGCCTACTCATCTCCATTTGGAAGGTGAGGTTCTGCAAGGCGACGGGAAGTCAGATAACGAAAGAAAAGGAACGAAAAAAAAGGCGAGTCGAAAACACTTACGCGGTATGATTAGCGTAGCGAGGCCTCAACGATGTACTCGTCCCCCAGGGCGCCGGTCGTCGCCACGTCCTTAGGAAGAAGGACGTTTGCAGCCCATTTACGGACAGAGGAGTTGCCTTGCCAGATCTGGGCATCCTCGTCCACCTCGTGGCTCAACCGGATCTTATTCGGTGCCGGCGTGTCCGTCTGCTCGGCCGGCGGTTTGGAGCTCGGACTCTCAGATGGAGGAGGAGGCGGCTGTCGAGTCGGCGACACGACGGGCGACGGCGTCAGATCGACCACGTCGCGAGATGGTGGAGGAGTCGACCTTGGAGCTGGTGACGGCTGGGAGGAGGAGGCAACAGCAGTGCCGGAAGCGCGCTGGGTCAGCCGACGCCTCATCTTTTCAGCTCTGTCCGCCATCTCTGGAGTCGGTACTACAGCCTCGTCGGAACTGGTGGAGTCGGAGTCGTGCGGACCTGAGAAAGAAAGGAAAGCCATAAGTATTCCAATTCGGAAGTGAGACAGGGCAAAAAGAAGCGAGAAAAGGAAGGCAAGGAAAGCTACCTACGGTGGCCGCACCCTCCGGCAGCAAGCCACGCTTGGCCATGGCCCGAACTCGGGACCAGTACTTGACGGAGTACGGCCCAAAGCTCTTCAAGAACTCGCCGCCCTGGACCGCATCGTTAGTGAAGACGGCACGCCGAGAGCAAGGCTTGAACAGAGCCGCCGGCCACAGGGTCGGAAAGGTGAAGGAAGAAAGAGCAGGGTGAACGAAAAAGAAAAGGGGCTTCCATTCCTTGATGGAGTCGGATAACCCCTCAAAAATCTGTCGCCCCGGACGGGCGGCGACTTGGACAAAGCCCGGCGAGTGTGAGCCGACCTTGTTCACGGTAAAAAGATACCGGAACAAGTCTAGATCCGGCTCGCACATCCACCAATATGAAGCAGGTGAGGGGGTGGTGAGAATTGGGCACTAGTTGGCCCGGAACCAGGTTATAGTGTCGAAAAAAGAGAGAGAGAAACGAACAGGGAGGCACTCGGAAGCCAAAAGCGACCGAGTGCAGGTGGATGCCCACGTGACCCTCCGGCGGGTTGTGAATGGGACGGCCCTCCGCGGCTACAACTATGGCGGAGGGACCGAGCAAAAAACGGGCCATGTCCAGGTCCGCCGCCGTAGCGCACGACGGAAGCCCGGTCGGCCGGACGATGGAATCGAATTTGCCTCGCAGCCGCCTGGCGCCGTCCGGCAGAGCCGCCACCGTAGGTAAAGGAGCGGGGCTCATGGGAGTGGCTGCCCCCGAAGAAGAAGGGGTCAGCTGAGAAGAAGACGCTGCCAGAAGAGCTGCCGGAACTCCCAGGCGACGGGGAATGGGAGAAGAAGAAGATGATGAAGAAGAGGACGACGGCGAAGTCGCCGCCGGGTTGTCAACCGAGCGACGACGAGAAGAAGAAGAATGCGAAGAAGAAGACATTACCTAAACCTGGAAGGGAGATCGGAGGAAACGCAGAGTGGCCGGAGAAGCTCGAGCTGAAGTTGAAGGGAAAGATTGGAGAAGATGGTGAGAAGAGAGAAGAAGTGGCTACTTAAAGGGGGAAGAATCCCAAGTGACGGCCACGTGTCACCTCCTCGTTGGAAGAAGCGGAGGTGACCAGTTGTGAAGAGACGCCGCAATTAATGCCTCAAAAGGCGGGGCGACGGTTCAGGTCTAGGGCTAGCTTGCAAACGGCGCGTCTGCCCTAGGCTAGGACGAGTGTCAGTAACCCGGCCTGCTAAGCTGGGAGCCCATCATAGGCCACGGCCTCTGGGCCCACCGGGTATGGGCTGGAAGCTTTTAGAAAGACCCGGTAGAACCCGGCCCGTCAGACGACACAGATCAAGTTCGCGAAGAGACTTCGGTCATGAGGTCGGCAGACAGATTTGGCGACTCCCTCGCTAAGAAGGTCTCGCCGTAAAAGGACCAGGAATCGGTCACATAGACCGGAGGTCGGTCCAACAAGTATAGAAAAATAAGAGTCGGACACAAAGGCACACAGTTTATTTAATAAGGCACGAAAAGTAAAAGGCATAGGACTCGGCCAGATGCAAATTACAAGGGAAAGCGGATCAAGGCTTGGCTTCCTTCTCTGCCGACGGCGAAGAGTCGGAGGACCTTCCAGGAAGTATTGAGAGCGGAAAGGCAGAGGACTCGGCTCAGGCTTCGGCATCTCGTCCAGATATACGGCTGGCTTCCCTTCATCGATCATTTGCAGGGGCCTCTCTAGGGCTCTCGGAGACATAGCCACCCCAAAGAGCGGAGGAACCTCCCACACTTCTTCCTCCTCTAGAACTGGGTCGTCCACCACTGATTCCATTTCGGCGACGGCAGGCTCCCTACACATCAGATCCAGCATGTCCGGGGACACCACAATGGGGTCTGAAGCCGAGTCGCCCACCAAATGCCCCCCATTAGCCAGCCTCTTTTGCTTCAGCTTTTCCAGTCAAGCATGCTCCTGGTTGCGGATAGACCAGCGGCGATCACTGTCTCTGCGGCTCATAGTTTCGTGCTTTTGAAAAATGAGATGTGTTGTGACTTGCACGAACCATGAGGGGTCTTTATATAGCCCTAAGGGAGCGAATACCCAGGCGCAAATCACGGGGGAATCGTAACTGACGTAACAGGACCGGATTTGATGGGGGCGCGAATCTCTGTCAGAAGCTAATCCCATCAAATCCACTTGGGAAGACCAAGATTCGCACGCTAAGCTGAAAAGATTAGACTAACCCCAAAGATACAGAGTATCTCACAGGTGTCAGACTGAAAAAGAAGCCTGGCAGCATGACCGACTCCTCGACGAGTCGGCCGAGTAGATGCGTTATAAGTACTGAATGGCGAAGTGAGGAAGGGAAAAACATCATTTTATTATAAAGAAGAAGGGTAAAAGTAGTAAGGAGCTTATTACAGTAAAAATAATGAAAATGCTCCTAAAGAAGACCCCTCTGAAATATGAGGCCGAGGCTGGCCTAGACGATCACTCGCCAGGCGAGGAAGAGCCGCTCCCGAAGAATCCCCCCGATGGTCCAGGAGGAGATGGGCAGAACGAGTCCCAGAAGGCCGGCATAAGTGGTGGCACAACCGGCTCCTCATCATCCGGATACGTCTCCAGGTAGCGGACGTAATCCTCATCATTCATTAGACCCGTAACCGGCCCGCCCAAGTCATCTAACAGGATGGCGAAGGTCATACGGAAAGTTAGTTGCTCCGGGACGGCCACTTCAATGAAGGACCCATTCGGAGAAGTCACCCTGACGGTTGTAGGAGTAGGCGGATGGAGTGAAGACGGAGCGACTTCGCGTCGTGGAGGAGTCGGCGGCTAAGGAACCGAGGGGGTAGCGCCGACAGGAGACCTCCGAGAAGCCGGACGCGGGGTCTTCTTCTTGTGTTCTCTTTCAGGCCGAGTCCGCTTTGAAGGCAGCAGGCGCCAAGGAGACCCAAAGTCAATCCGTTTCCCCTTCAGAGGTGAACGACCCATGATGAACCAATGGATGGAATGGAAAGGGAGGAAGCCATTTATAGGTGCTAAGTCAAGCCAGAAGAATCCAAACGATCCCATGAAATCCGGAGCGAATGGCAAATAATCCGGGCGTTACAAGGGCCATTCAAGGCGTAGATACGGTAATTGAAGGAGACGAGCGGTTACTACTTTTCCAAAATCAGGTTAGCGGACCGGGTATGGAAAAGTGAGGGACTAGTTGATGGGGTAGGGACCCCGACCCAAGATATATTGGCCCAAAAAAGAGGGTCCGAGATAGAAAAGATGGGCTAACATCAAAAGAAGCCCGGAAAGCGCTTGGGCCGAGTCCAGGAGTCGGCCCAGGCCCAAGCATGGGAATCTAGCTGCTCAGAACTGTTAAGAGGAGCCCCAGTGGGAGCTTGGGCCGGGACAAGGAGTCGACCAGGGCCCAAGCCCAAGGAAAGACTCGGTTCGAGGAGCCGTTGAGAGCATTGAAGAGACTCGTTTAAAAAGGAACCGTTAGGGCATTAAAAGCAGGACTCGGTCAGGCTGTTACAGGCTCGAGAGAGCCGTTGGCCGACCTAGTGATAACGTCCAACGGCTCGATGCTTTAACTAGCTTTGAAGTCTGCCATTAAGGGCCTTCAAGTCGATAAGGGGGGAGCCTGCTATATAAAGGCTCCTCCGCTCTTGTAAGAGACACAGAAAAAAGAGTACCCAGAGGGGAAGTAAGACCAATTCTAAAGCAAAGTACTTTATTTCACTCAAATACGCATTTTATTGAAAGGTGTATCCTCTAGCTAATGGTTGTGTTGGACCTCCTTGGGCCTGAAAACCCAAAAACCATCATATATATATATATATATATATATATATATATATATATATATATATATATATATATATATTGTCTAGATATATAACAATTTTGTCATTTAAAAAAAAAACATAATATCAACGATTGTATCTACACATTATTGAAACCTCTATGTAGACAACATTGGTAGTAGCAACACAATTTTGTCCATCAGGATGTATGACTCGGGTGAAAATATATAATGGTAGAGTATTAGTCAATTAGCGATTCTTTTATATTTTAAGTCAATTAGTAATATCAGATTCATTTTTAGCCAATTATTCTTTTTTTATTTTAGTCGATTAGAATATCATATTAATGATATTTTTACCTAATTTCCGTTTCATTTTAAATTGATGATGTATAATATTATTATTGAAATATTTTCGTTTCATTTTTAATTTACCCTTAATATTGTTTAAAATATATTTTTACTATTTATGATGTAGAATATTATTATTGAAATATTTCAGTCCAATTTTAGTTTCCGTTCTATTTTTAATTAAAATGCAATGATTTAACTATTTATTTTTTCATATTAGTCAATTATGGATCATTTTTTATTTACAGACAACTATATATTAATATTCATTTCATTTTATATTTTCAGTCACTTAGTAATATCATATTCATTTTTAGCCAATTATTCTTTTTTATTTTCAGTCAATTAGTCAATTAGCCAATTAGAATATCAAATGCACGGATGATTTTACCCAATTTTCATTTCATTTTTAATTGATGATGTAGAATATTATTATTGAAATATTTCCGTTCCATTGTTTAAAATTGTGAAAGATTTATGACATAATTGTGATTTGATGTATTATATTGTGTAATATTATTGTGAAAAATTAAAATGCAATTGTGGGTTTTAGGGTTTTTGGGCCCAGGGAGGTCCAACACAACCTTAGTCGGTGGATTCACCTTTCAATAAAAGAACTTTCTTTCGAGGAAAAAATAGCAGTATGGTGTCTTTCTTATAGCCTGGGCATGGACTCGCCCTTTTCACAATGGCAGAGGGGCCTTTATATAGTAGGCAATCCTTCAACCGAGTTGAAGTACATTGAAGGCTGCTTTTAAAGCTAATTACATTTTAGGGTCGTTGGGTGCCGTTATCGGGCCGGCCAACGACTCTTTTGGGTTCCATAACGGTTCGCTTGGTCGAGCCCTTTAAATGCCGCGATAAATGCCACTCAACGGCTCCTTGCCGAGTCTTCTCTTCACCCTGGGCCTGGACCGACTCATGGTCTCGGCCTAGGCCTCTGCTGGGCCTTACTTCAGACCCATATTCTCGCCTGCTGGGCCGCTACTTACCCATTCTGGACTCTCTCCCATCCTGGGCCTCTTCTCTTGGGCCCGCCTTCTTGGGCCGGGGTCCACACCCAATCATCTAGTCCCTCACTTTCTCATACTCGAGCCTCTAACTCGGGTATGGGAAAGTAGTAGTATCTCCTCCCTTTTATCAGCAAATCTCTGGTTTAATTGTCCGAATAACGCCCAAATTCTTCGCCATCTCGCCTGATTCACCAGGGTCGTTTAGATTCCTCCTTTGTCTCGGGGATCCTATAAATATCACTTTAATCTCCTCACCTTCCATCACCTTTTGAATTACCCATGGGTCGCTCCCCTTTGTATTATCACTGTAACACCCCAGATTTTCAAGACTTTTAAAACTTATATAATAAAGGTAAATTCTCATTAAATCCCAAGCAGAGCAGTACTAAACATAAGAACACGGGGTGTTATGCCACATCTGAGCTGGAGAACTCAGATGCACAGGCTAAACTATCTAATCATCCTTAAACAATAATCATTACATCATCATGGCACGCAGGCCGAACAAGAACTACCTATCTATGCCTTGGGTCCTCTAGCGCGCTCTGGAGCTAATCGTCAGTGCCTGAAAGCCAAATATATCTGTTCAGCGAATAATGTAGGTAACCCACTCTAACGCGTTGAAATACCGTATAAGTATATATATATATATATATATATATATATATATATATATATATATATATATATATATATATATATATATATATATATATATATATATATATATATATATATATATATATGTGTGTGTGTGTGTGTGTGTGTGTGTGTGTGTATATATAGATAT